TCAAGATCTAACTTGAATGGAGGGTTAAGATTAAGTAGCTGCTGATCCTGGTCTTGCTTTCCTTTAGAAGTGAGATGATTAAGTCTGAATAAGGAAAGTTCTTCTTTGGCGAGATAATCTTAAATTTGGTATGATTTAGGCTGGTTAATGACTTGGTCTGACGTCTCTCCTTCTTTATTATCTTCATGGACCGTCAAATAATGTGAATAATGTGGTTTAGCAGGATTGCAACTCGAGCTTTCCATATATGACTCCATATATTCGCATGTTGGTCAATTTAGGGGCTGTAGTGGTTTGTATGAAATGCCTTGCTTCTTGTATTGAACCAGTTGGATGTTGGCTCAATCAGAATGTTCCTTCTGATGTATACAATTATGGCGAATAGTGGCAAAGTCCTTAGCATCTTCAAATACAGCTACAAAGCCTCCAAGTTCCTCAACTACTTGCATGACTCCATCCGATTTAGCTCAAATGCTCCTCTTCTTGTTGAATCCAGCTATATGAGCTTTGATACTTACATCATACTCTCGCTCTTGAAGAGGTTTTGTCCTCAAAACATTAGAACCTGCATCAAATAACCTTAAGTTAGTTTCTGAAAAATGTTTAGAGTTTAAGAGTTTATCTTGGTAATTAGTTTTTAGATGTTGTAAGAGTTGTATGAGTGGGATGTTTCTGGCTTCAGCAAGCTCCAGTGTTGATGTAAACTCAGCTAATGGTGGTTTCTCCTTAGTGAACATCACGTTTTCACCATTGTTTCCCACATTTCTCTCCTTAAGTTCCATAGTTTTGAACTTTTCTTCTTTAAAACCTGCAAAATAGTCTCTTGGCAAAGGCAAGTGCATTATATCTTGTGGAATTAAATCCAAAAATTCTTGAATAGCAAAATAACTATCCGTTCCTTTAGCTCTGTTTTGTAAAATTTTAACATATTTTTATGCTAAAGGAGCAAGAATAAACTTACAGTGGTTAAATGAGCAAGAATACTCATTTGTGCGCCCATGTGTGCAACATCTCTGTCATATTGTCATGGCCTCCCAAGCAGTACATGTCCAGCTTGCATAGGCGCCACATCACATTAAATTTGATCCTTATACTGGCCTATTGAGAGTGGTACCTCCACTTGCTTAGAGACTTTTAATTTACTCCTTGTCATTGAGCCATTTAAGCTTGTATGGTCTTGGGTGTTGCTTAATTTTAATTCCCAGCTTTTCTACTAAACAAACACTAGCAATATTAGCACAAGAACCACTATCTATTATTAGATGACATACCTTGTTTTGTATATTGAATCTGGAATGAAAGAGATTGTCTCTTTGCTCTTGATCTTCTAAAACAGGTTGAGAGTTTAAAGCAATTTGAATGACTAACAACTCTCCTTCTTCAGCATATATGGTGATTTCTTCTTCTGATTCTTCAGCCATATCCTCATCTTGTGAATCATATCCACCATCTGGTCTAAGAATCATTCTCCTCTTGTTTGGACATTTTCTTGAAACATGACCCCTGCCTTGACATTTAACATAAATAATGTCATGATGTCTATTTGAATTACTAGACTTACCTTGCTCTTGGGTATTGGATTTGAACCGTGATTCTACTGCAATCCCCTTTCCTTTATCTATGAATAGCGTAGGGTTTGGTTGCTGCTGCTGCTGTGTTTGTTGAGCTTGTTGTTGATTTCAAGCAGCACTGCTATTAGAACGTTTCCTTGTAGATGCCTTCTTCTTTATTTGTTTCTCCCTTTGAACAGCTAGGTGTAAGAGTTCAGGCAATGAGTGGTAAGGCTGAATCTCTACTTTCCTCTGAATTCTTTCTTGTAACCCATCCATGAATTGGGACATCAGAGACTCCTCTGTTTCTTTTAAGGCTAGATAACTTCTTAGAAGATCAAATTCTTCATAGTACTCTTCTACACTACATGAACCCTGAAACAAAGTTCTAAATTTTTTAATAACTCTCTACGATAATGAGGAGGTACATACCTTATGTTTAGCTCAAATTTCATGTCAGCCCATCTGGTTATTTGAGGATATCTCAGCCTCCTCTTCTCAGCTACTTCTCTGCCTCACCAAGCTAAGGCATGATCAGTGAGACTAGCTATTGCAAGGGCAATCTTCTTAGGTTCTGTATATTCATAGTACTCAAACAGATGCTCCATTCTTTTCTCCCATTCTAAGTAGGGTGCATGATCAAGATTTCCAGCAAAAGTTGGGGCAAGAAGCTTCACTTCTGGTGGTAAGTTTCTATCTTCATTATAAGGCCTATTTCTCTCATTGTTTCTTCTGTTTAGAATGTCTTGCGCAGCTTGTGCTAAATTTGGTGCTGGTGCTGGTGCTGGCACATCAGGGGGGTCTCCTGCTCGGTTTGCATCAGGGGGAATGACATTCACGTTTCTTCTTGGCAAAAGAGGAGGGGGTCGCTCTGGATTTTCTAGGCGATTCAGGCGATCAGTAGTAGTTTGAGCATTGGTGTTGAGGTTCACGAGATTTTTGTTGATGGCTGTAAGGTGGCCTTGGAAGGTCTTCATCATTGCCATGATGGCTTGTAGAGGGTCTGCTTCTGGTATATCTCCCATGGTACCTTGCAAAATTCAAGCAACAATCAAGATGTGTTTTAAATGAAAGCAAAATACAAGAATAAGCAATTAAGCAGTTTAGACCAGAATGGTTTTAAAAATTAACAAATGATTTGTTAATTCAAAAGAAATATTTTTTGTGGTTTGAAAGAGTTTAATAAGAACTAACAAAAAGCAAAATATTTTTATGGGTTTTAATTTTTTTATAAAAATCACAGAAGACAGATGAACAATAAACAACTTTTTATGAGTTTCTTGGGTTTATAAGAAATAAAATTCAAAAACTGAATGAAAATATATAGCAAAAACTTGAGAAAAGAACTGAAAACACCTGGGATATGATCTTTTAGCTTTGATACCAATGATGTAAGCTCGAAAATGCTTCAAGCTAACTTCTTAGAATCGGTTGTTTTAAGCTGAATGTTGTGGAGGAATAACTTGTGATTTTGTAGTCGATTTGTGTTTGATGACTCTAAACACCAAATGTTAGATTCTTCTAACTCAATGGCTAATCCACGCGAGAGGTAAGAGAGTCTACACGCTTTTACAAGCTTCTGAGTCCCTCAAGAAATTTAGTACAAAACGCAGGAACAGTTTTGGTTGCAAAAACTTTCTTTGTGAACAAAAACAAATGGGTTTAAATTATTTAATAATTCGGAATGAGAAAATACAAAGTAAAAGAGCTTATATAAAGCTCAGAAAGAAGATAGCAAAAGATAATAATAATAAAAAAACATAAAACAATTTTCAAGTTAAATGATGGGAAAATCTCCAACTAGCTGTTTGGCTATAAGTGGGAATTGAGCTTGATTGGTGGTCTTGAGGATGGGGCGGACCTTGGGGTTATTAGTAGAGCTTGAATGGTCAAGATCTAATTTGAATGGAGGATTAAGATTAATTAGGGGTTATTGGTTCTTGTATTTTGGTGGATTTATAAATCTTCTTTGGATTTGATAAATTTATTGATTTCAAAATCAGCAAAATGTAAAAAAATCAAATCCACTCAAATACCAAGGTTAAACCTTGTATTTTAGTCATAAAAATCCTTCCAAATCCATTCAAATTCAAAATCTTTGGATTTGATAAATTTATTGATTTCAAAATCAGCAAAATGTAAAAAAATCAAATCCACTCAAATACCAAGGTTAAGTCTTTGTATTTTAGTCATAAAAATCCTTCCAAATCCATTCAAATTCAATTAAAACTCAAATCTTTATAATATTTAAATTCTAAAATGATAGAACCAATAACACTGTATTTCATTATGAATTTTAAAATCATAGAACCAATAACACTGTATTTCAATATAGATTTTAAAATACAAGAATCAATAACACTGAATTTGGTTTGGATTCTCAAATCCATTAAAATACAAGAACCAATAACACCTCCTAAGTAGCTGCTGATCCTAGTCTTGCTTTCTTTTAGAAGTGAGATGATTAAGTCCGAATAAGGAAAGTTCTTCTTTGGTGAGATAATCTTGAATTTGGTATGATTTAGACAGGTTAATGACTTGGTCTGACGTTTCTCCTTCTTTATTATCTTCATGGTCCGTCAAATAATGTGAATAATGTGGTTTGGTAGGATAGAAAGGCTTTCCATATATGACTTCAAATATTCGCATGTTGGTCCACTTAGGGGCTGTAGTGGTTTGTATGAAATGCTTTGCTTCTTGTATTGAACCGGTTGGATGTTGGCTCGCTCAGAATACTCCTTCTGATGTATAGAACGATGGCGTTTAATGGCTAAGTCCTTAGCATCTTCAAATACAGCTACAAAGCCTCTACTAGCATCTTCAAATACTCCATCCGATTTACCTTCAATGCTCCTCTTCTTGTTGAATCCAGTTGTATGAGCTTTGATGCTTACATCACTTAACCTTGATGAAACAAAAACATCATCCAAAAAAATCTTCAGTATGAGCATCCCTCCTTCGAGTCACATCAGGAGGATCTTCCGGTAGTCTTGCTTTCTCTCTTATGTCAATTATGGTTATATTCTGGTCATTCGAACCCAAAGTACTAGAGTTGTAAGTGTTTATCATCATTTTTTCCCCTAAAATATATATTATAATCTTTTTAAAATATGTACAAAATAAAAAAAATATGTATTCTAAACTTTATAAAAAATGTATGAAGTTTACATTACATATTCTAAACTTCGTAAACATATATAAATTATAGAATATATATTTTAAATTTTGAAGAATATGTTTGAAATTTAGAAAATATATCCTAAAATCATAAAACAGAACAACAATATTTTAATTTCACAAACACTTAGTAAAAATATCATTTTTTCCCAAATTCCCCCCACAAAATCATTAAAATTAAATTAATCGTAAAATTATAACTTTATTCTAGAAATGGTTATTTGGTATTTGCACACAAAAAAAATTATTATTTGTAAAATTAATGAACGGAAGAACTTGGTGAGACGAAGAAAGATTTCTGAGAGTTGGATTCGCCGGCGGTGGGATTGCGGCAAAGAGGCGCCAGAAACAGCTTCATCGTTAACCCTAAAAAAATGCTCAACCGAATCCTCTATCGCTCTCCCACTCCTTCTCTCCTCTTCTCCAGAACCTTCTCCTCTACACTTTTCGTCAAAGGTCTCTCTCCCTATCTCTCTGTTCCTTATATCTACGTTTGTGTCTCTGATTATCTGATGCTTAATCCAACTTCCAGAATTCTAATTTCCCATTTCTTGATTCCTAATTCCTTGAATCGGAAATTTCATGAACGAGTTTTTTTCTGTGTGACATAAGGCATTGTCACTGAGCTATTGTCACATTGTGTGCAATACTTAGGTTTGTAAAGTTGTGAACTTTGATTTCGTTTGTATGCTTTGATTAGTGATTACCAATTCTTAGGGACAGAGTTTTGAAAGAAATCTGATCTCACAAGAGATGTTACTGGGATAAAAACAACAAAGGGCATGTGTGAATTTGCTCACACATTGTCTTACCAATAAGGTTTATCTTAAAGTTTCCAACTTTCGATGTAAAAGCATCGTCTTCTCTTTGGTCAGATCTGAGTCTTAGTGATTTCTTGTATTACTGTCACTTAGTTGTTCAATTTAGGCTTTGTCCAAAAAAAAAAAAAAAAAGTTGTTCAATTTAGGCTATTACCACTATTTTGATATGTATGCTTTGTTTAGTGATTACCAATTCTTAGGGACAGAGTTTTGATAAAAATCTTGATCTCAGAAGAGATGTTACTTGGAATCATAACAACAAGGGTATGTGTGAATTCGCCACCACATTGTCTTACCAATGAGGTTTATCTTGAAGTTTCAAACTGTAGATGTAAATGCATCGTCTTTCTCTTTGTTCAGATCTGCATCTCAGTGTTTCTTGTTTTACAGTCACTAAATTGAACGCTGTATTTTCATTTAGCGAAAGTTGCGTCTGGTGTGAATAGGCCATGACTACTATTTTGATTTGGTAGTGTTTTCTGTTGTGCCAGTATGTGTTTTCAGCTTAAGCGCCACACATTGACATACAAATCTTAAAGTTTCAAACTTTGGATGTAAAAACATTTTTTTTTTTTTTTTTTTTTTTTGGGACAAATCTCGTGAAGCTTCTTCTTATGTGAGTTTCAGTTATTTCTTGTGTTTGTTGTAGGCATATCTTTCTCAAGCACAGAAGAAACATTAACCCAAGCATTTTCACAATACGGTCATGTTCTTGGAGGTAAGTCTCTTGATCTCAACAGCAATTAGTTTTCACATTTTGTGACATAGCTTCACTTAACATATCTCCTTCGTCTTCTTCGCCGTTTTGGTTGCTTTCAGTGGATGTTATAATGGACAAAATCAGATGTAGACCAAAAGGGTTTGCTTATGTCACATTCTCTTCTAAAGAAGACGCCGAGAAAGCTTTATTAGAACTCAACGGGCAGGTATAATAGAAACTACCTTCTTCATTGTTGTTTAAGTCTAAGAAGCTTTGTTCGTTGAAGTTTTAAACTTTATATATGCTAGGCTTGTAACGTATTTGATGAACATTTGTGAATCTCCTGGTGGAGCATTAGAACTAGATATGTCAAAAAAAAAAAAAAACTATTTGCTTGGAATAATCTGAACACGCTGAATCATCAACTCTTTGAACCGGTTATGTTGCTTTATCTTCATGAAATCTTGTTATTTGGATTCACAGTTGGTAGATGGGCGGGTCGTGATCCTCGACACAACGAAAGCTGTAAAACAGAATCGACGAGAGAGCAAGCTAGAGCATGCAGGTGGTGATAAATAGCTGATACTTCTCTTGTGTCTTACGCAACTTGTTTAGATGAAATTTCAGAGCAGCCAAAAACAAGGTTATTATAGAAAGTTAGGCTACAAGATCTGCAACAATTTGATTGTTTTGAGTAGGAGAAGGGAGAAGACGAGAATGGCTGTTGATTTATTAGAGTCTTTGATCATTTGCAAGTAGCATGGTTCTTTAATCATTACTTCCGTGGGATTACAATTACAAATTCAAAGGAAAGCATACCCCAAATTCAAAGCAGATTACATCTACGTCTGAACCACCAATTTTTCATCTTGTGCGCTTAACCAATTTTTCCATTCAGAACATTCACCAGCATACTTTGAGAAACGTTTTGCCCAGTATCTTGGCAACTGACCCAACTGCCATGATCCTTCCTCCAATAGCAGTAAGATTTCCAGACACGCGCCTGTATTCTCCATTTCTGATCAAAATAGTCAGCAAGGTTTGATCGTTTCTGAGACAAGTTAAGGCTGAAGTTCCCTTAGCATGAAAATTTCTTGGTTTTGAATTCTTCTCTGGATTCAAAGGACAGAAACCTTCGTGCTTGTTGCAAGTTACCTCCTTCAACAAAACATAAAAGCTCAATTTTTTCCATTGAGTTGACGTAATCCAATTTAAAGCCAGTACTATACGAGTCATCATTTTAGCCGGATCCGAACCCCTCCCTTCTGTATCTCGAGCAATCTTCCTCTTCTTTCTTGTCTATTTGTCTTACCTGTCGATTGAAAACAAAAATTGTATTACGAAGTGAGATTAAATGAAAGAGGAATTAGAGAAGACTCGTTTTTTCAGAATTAGGGATCCGTAAGAGATGCTTAGTTTTTTTCAGAATTTTAAGATTAGATCCGAAGGCGTTAGGTACACAGATAAAAACCCAGGTACAAAAAGTAATTTTCGTTAGTTGGCTAAAGTTTTGGGTAATTTCAATTATTTTTAGTTTTTAAAATTAATTAAAAACAAAAATCTAAACTTTTATTTGTGAAGTGATTTTGACGAATAGAGCTTTCTTATTCAATCTTACTAAACATTATCTAAGTGCCTTTAATAAAGAAACCACTTATCTATTCTAATATTTTCTGAGATATTTCTAATATTTTTTAATTTCTAAATAAGTTAGAAAATAATCAAAAAAGAATATTCGTTGGTTTAATGATTCTATTATTATCAAACTGAGAATAACATTAATATAGTTATTATTATCCTATGCGGATCTTAATAAAATCTAGATAATTTTGTATACTTTCTAAAATTTTAAAATTATTCTTTTAATTCGGACTGTGGCCCATAATGTATTAGCGGTTGTCATGTAACCATAATCTTTTCTATATATATATAGTTCAATATTCTAGGATCGGCAAAAATTATCAATTTGTTTATTTGTTCTTCGTGTTTGTTAGATTTTGTATTTTGGTTAAATTTTCATACGCGTATCTAATGAATTTTTTTATATGCATGCAGTTGATGGCTTTGTTGACCTTCTTGAAGTACTACCCTGCTTAGACGATATGCTCTCTACATATATCATATAGATGTATTACATTATTATTTTTTATTTGGATTATCGTTTAACCTTTTTTATTTTGTCGACGGTTAGATTTTCTGCACTGACTGCGTTTTGACTACCTGAAGAATCATCGAGATGTTGTTTCCTTCTTTGTATTTTTGCAGCTGATCATGTATTTGATTTTATATTTGATTAATATTTTCTTATGTATTCAGTTATTTGATGGATTTATTCGTATATGCTTATCTAATGAATTCTTCATATGTATTATGTAGGTGGTATGGCTTTATTGATCATCTCGATTTGTTGATATGGCTTAAACGGTATGTTCTCTGTTTATAACGAATATACATATGTATTATGTTATTTTCGTTTATACTTTTTATCTTTTTATTAATGACTGGAAATTCGTCGATATATGCCAGCTTCGGGTTTGTGAGGTATTATCAAAATGTTATTTTATTTTCCGTAGTTGTTTAATGGATATTATAATTTGATTTTGTATATGCTTCTTTAGTTTTTTTTATGTATATGCATGTAGTATGTGTTCGTTTTGATTTGATTTGGTATATCCTATAGTCTTAGTTGATGAATATAAATAAGTTTATTTTTGTTAAGTATTTTGTGATATTGACTAGATTTTTGTTTTGTGTCGGATGGCTAAGGGTTGTTCACTTTTAATTGGGGATTGGTGGGTGTAGTGTGATCGCATTTTCAAATATATTGTGGATGTATTCACATTCTACTCGAGAGGTTTGTGCCGTTATGGTTTTTCTATTGACTTATTATTTCAGAGTTTGTGTATAGTCTCTTTTGTGATGTTTATATTCTCTTAATAAGGTCAAATTGTATTTGATGTCTTTCTATATTTATGTTTAACGATTTTTTTTATTGGAATATTTAATGTGTGATAGGGTTCTTGCAAGGGTGTAATTAATGATTTCTCCAATGTTGAGTTTGGAGTGTAGAGGACGTGTTGGGATCATCAAAGATAGAAAGTTTCAGATTCTTGAGTGTATCTGCTTGATCGTGTATGCATTGAAGAGAAATACTGTCATTGATATTTTGTCGAGATTAATGTAATTTGATTGTATTAGGTTATCTATGATTTGTATTTAGGCCGTCTATGATTTGTAATAGTGATGTGTTCTCTTAATAAATTATTTTTTATTCTATTTGGTTGTTCCATGATATTCCGATTATATTTTCTGTTTTTTGTTTAAGATGTCTAAAAATAAGAGCTTAGCGTACTAATTGAAATTTGTTAGTATGTGGTATCTTGAACGAGACTATATAAGACGGGGTGTTTATATGCATATTGATGTATATACTTATAATAGGTGTATATTATTGACATCTTCTAAGTAAAAAAAAATGGGAAATATCCTGCAGTATACTAATCTTATCCATCCAGAAATTTCTATATTAATTTACTTCAAGTTTTTGTAGATTAGAATTGTAAGGGATATCGTGTTGTTTGATATCGGATATCTTGGACTATACTAAGATATTAAAGTCGTTGTCGTTTATACTATCTAAAAATATTTTGATAGTGATAGTGTAGATTGATGTCGTGTCTTTTTATATTCGATGTTTATTTACTTTCATTGGATTCGTATGGGTCGAATTAATTAACTATTCGTTTACTTGGGCCCAAGATGGTTTGCAACGAGTTCGATATGGACAAATAATGGGAAAGCAAACGGATGTCAGTGCTTTTTAAAAGAATATTTATCCCCAAAGTAGATCGTTTACTGCCATATATCGTCTTTTTGGGTTCCTTAAGCCGCATAACCTTCTTTTCTTTGCCGTTCGAGAGGACCCATAAATAAACTACAGGAAGTACCTTCCGATCTTTGCTTCGGCGTTCTTTTCTTCGCTATGGATTCTCTTTCTGGGATAAAAAAGGGTTTCATTGAGCGGTATGTTCGTGTGAAAGTTATTTGAATTTGGAGACATGTCAATTTCTTCGGTCGTACATTGTAGCTAATAGTTACCGATACTCAGGTAAATTTTTAGAAACTAATAAATGGAACAGGTTACTCTTTTCTCTTTGCATGTGAATTTTTTTTTCAGAATTTGTTGCTTATTGATTTTGATCTCTATTTTTGGCTAGCAAACACAAATCTCGGTGACTGTCTTGCCCGGTGAATTGCTTATTTATGAAAACTACTTCAAGGAAGGATCTTGGTATGAGTTCTGTAATTTCGAAGTTAAACGCAAGACTGGATCTGTGATTTTGTCCAACTATGGTCAAAAGATCATTTCGGTCGTTTGACAAGGGTTAGGAGATTTGATGATGGACCTCCTGGATTATTTCTTCTCTGTCGGCGAATTTTCGATATTCGTACTAGGGAGTTTGAACCTCGATCTTTAATCGGTAATTTTTTTTTTGGATTTTTTAGAATTGTTTCATACTTGGTTACAATGATTGTATGTGTCTGAAAGACATTTTTTCACAGATATAATGGGAATGGTTTTAAGGATGGGAACTCTGCAAGACAATAACAATGATGCATATGAGGAGGACTTGTGTCACATTCGTTTTGAACTCTGCGATGCGAGGTTAGCAGTTTGTAAATTATTTTTGAATAAAACATTTTTGTTGTTATTTTATGGTATATTCATAGTTGATGTCGTTGTCATAGGAAAGATGGTGTCATTGCGTGTACTGCGAGAGGAGCTATTGCTATGCACTTTGTTCGTGTGTACGAGCAAAATGATGCTGAAACGATAATATGCGTTCTCAGGTTCTGGATGGTATCCGATGGCAAAGGTAAGTATATTATTATGTGTAATAAGTAAAAAAAAATGATCTACTTTGTTATCGGTTTCTTATTAAGCCTAATGAGTGTTGATTGGATTTCTTTGTTTCAAGAGTCTATTTAATATATTTTATTGTATATATCCCGGCTCTAAGGATGTTGTCTTGCAGTCTCATTATCCAAGTTCCCAGTTCATATTTAACCCCCTCGATGATGATGTCTGCGAGTTTCAGGAGATGTGAGTTTCTGGTTTTTATGATCAACTATTTCTTTTGGTACACATTTCATGTTTATGCTTTCGTTTTGTTAATATTTTAAATCTACTCCAATGCAGTCGTGGTAGCCTCGACCGCCGCATTATTCAGTGACGAGGCATCTGGCATGGACTGGCTTTGATGTCGTCGTTGTCTCCACTAGATTTTTTTTTATTACTCGGACCTGCTATAAGTGTTATTTTCGAACAATCAAGTTTATTTTATGTATGTTTGTAGTGTATGCTATCGCATTTTATATTTTTTTGTGCCTTTGTCTCGGCGTTTCAAGATGAACCTTTTAATATATTTTAATTATTATTCATATGATTATCGAGAAGAACAAAAAGTTGTGCTTGGAAGTTCGTTACATTTGTATAAAGTGTAAATTAAACTGGCCCTCTGTGTGTGGATTTTCTAGCAAATTCGTGTGATTATCAAGAAGAAAAAGTGTTGTGTTTA